GTAAATGAATGGATCAAAAAACAATGGTACATTTACACAATGGAATTCTACGCAGCAGAAAGAAAGGAGCTCCTACCCTTTGCAACAGCTTGGATGCAACTGGAAAGTATTATGCTAAGCGAAATAAGCCAGGCAGTGAAAGACAAATACCATATGATTTCACCTTTGACAGGACCCTAAACAACAAAACAAAGAAACACGCAAAATATAACCAAAGACACTGAAATAAAAAACAGACTGACAGAGTTCAGAGGGGAGAGGAGAGGGAATTTCAGGGGAATTTCAGGGGAAAAGGGGAAGGGTTTATAGGAACGAGTATAAGGACACATGGATAAAAACTAGGAGCAGGTGGAAATGGGAGGGAGGAGGGGAGGGTTGGGTGGGTGAGTTGGGATGGGAGTAAAAGATAGAAAATTGTACTGCAACAACAATTTAAATAAAATTTTTAAAAAAAGAAAAAAAAGGAAAATACAGCACAGCAATAACACAAAGGCTACTAATCAGCAATTGAGAAAATACCATTATTTATTATAAACCCTAAGTTTAGAACTAAATTAAATTAGATATATAAGATTTTAAAGTAAAAAAGATAAAATGGAAGAAGAAAAATGTGCTCACATAAAGACTGAGAAGTCATTTAAAAAGAAAAAAGATGAAAAATAAGTGGAACAAATAGAAAACAAAAAAAATGAACAAATAACTTAAGTATTTCTCCATAGAAGATACATAAACAGCCAAGAAGTAGAGGAAAAGATGTTCAACCTCATTAGCCACAAGGGGAATGCAAATCAAAACCACAATGAGATACTACTTCCTTCACACCCAGGTAACTAGAACCAAAACACAGGTAATAAAAGTATGGCAAGGACATGGGAAAATTGGAACCCTCATACACTGCAGGTGGGGAACATATAATGGTAAAATTATTTTGGGAAACAGTCTGGCAATTCCTCAAAAAGTTAAATACAGAGTTACCATATGGCCCCAAAATTCTACACCTAGATATACATCTGAGAGAAATACAAGTTTGAGCATATGCTCACATAAAAACTTGTAGATGAATGTTCGTGGGACCACTATTCATAACTGTCAAAAGTACAAATGACCCAAATATCCATCAACTGATGAATAAATGAACAAAATGTGGTATAGCCATATAATGGAATATTACTCGCCCAAAAAAAGGAAATAAAGGAAATGAAATACATGCCACAAAATGAATGAACTTCAAAAACAATACACTAAGTGAAAGGATTTGCTCACAAAGACTGTATTTTAATGTCTAGAATAGGCAAATCCATTCCGACAGAAAGCAGATTAGTGCTGTCCAAGGCTGGGAAAATGAAAGATTTGAGGGGTGATGGCTAAAGAATCTGGAACTTATCTTTAGGGTAATGAAAATATTCTTGGAATTGATTGCAGTGATGGATACAGACCTTTGAATACTCTACAAACTTAATATTGTGTACCTCAAAAGGGTAAATGTATAATATGTGAATTACATCTCAGTAAAGCTGTTTTAAGGGGGGAAAAGACTGGACAAAAAGACTGGGAAGGGGGAGAGAAACCAAGGTAAAACATTTATGGCATGAGGGTGGGGGAAAACCTATACAAAAGGCATGAATGTGGAAAAATATATAAATCTTTTGTAGACCAAAGGGACTATAAGTATAATGTTAAGTCTCAAGGAAAATGATTTTGTAAAAGCAAAAAAACTAGTTATCAGTGGAAAAGGGATAATGTAGGAGAACATTATCAAATCAGAATTATGTTCAATAGGGACAGAGGGAAAAGCCACTAGGGTGAAGAATAGGAGAAAACTGGATACTGTGGGTTAATAATGAGCAATAAGACAGCAAGAAGTAAGCAAGTAGGCTAGAGGCACAAGGTTGTACCAGAAGGTGAGGAAAGAACACTGAAGAGAAGTACTTGGCTTATAGTCAACTGCTGAGTAGAAGAATAACAGTTCTTCCCCACATAACCAGAATATAAGTTTGGAAGATCCAAGAATGTGCATAGCCTGCATAATCACTTCACTCATGTAGTAAATGAGAACTAGTTGTAATCTGAAGGAAAGGATCACATGCTTAAACCAAACATATTAAACAAAGTTTAACAAGGCTGAGTATAGTCTATTAATCACCCATAGATACAAGATAATAAAATACTAAAACTACACCTTAAATCAGCAATTTTTAAACTTTTTCATCTCATGGCACACAAAAACTAATTACTAAAATTCTGCAGCATACCAAAAAATATTTTTTGCTGATCTAATAAAAAATATGTATAATTTTGATTCATTCAAACTAGATAGCTATTGTTGTGTTGGCTGTTACAATTATTTTATTTGACAATCTAAAGGAAAAAAGGTCAGTGCCCCTGACTATATAGTAAGGTATTACATTTTTAAAAAATTCTTATGGCACATCAGTATGCTGCGGCATACCAGCTGAAAATCACTGCCTTAAATACATACTTCCCGGACCTTATTAAAAGAGAAATTTTGGAGACAAAATACTACAAGTACTCTACTAAGAATAAAATGAACAGAATAAGCCTAGCCTTTGAGGGAGACCAAAAAAGATATAAAATAACTGAGCACTTGGAAATATGGCTTTTTAAAATTATTATAGCTGATCCTTTTAATTCGCCTATTATAAATTTTATAGCTGCTTTATTTGATAAAAATAAACTTGGCACAGGTAAAAACACCCTAACATCATTCTACTTTCCTTAATTCCCCTAATCTACAAAAAATCAGTTCCACTAATTTTAGGTTTCTCAATGACAGACCATGAGGTTATGAATCACAGAATCTGTTGTTACTTGTCAGATCTGTTTTTAATACAGGTGACTACATTCTGTTAGAATAGAATATCTCCAGAATAAAAAATTTTAAATAAAATGTTTTTTATAGCACAGCTCATTTGATAAATTCAGAAAAGGAAATAGGAAATTAGCTGAGTTAGAAAAAAGAAAAATCATAAAAATTATAAAAGTAATTAACATTACCACTTACTTTCTAATATAATCTTTTGGGCTAAACCAGTGGACAAAAACAAATCTATAAATAAAAATACATTCCTATTGTGAGACAATAAACCAAAAAATACTATGAAGAGAGCAGCACAGGAAACAAATTTGACAAACAAAATAATGAATTAGATAATGTCACAGTGATAAGTACTGTCGTCAATAAGACCATAAGGCCTCAGTGTAGGCCTTATGGGTAAGGATCTAAAAGAAAAGATTTTATCCCTGGCTGGTATAGCTCAGTGGATTGAGTGCACACCTGCAAACCAAAGGGTCGCTAGTTCAATTCCCAGTCTAGGGCACATGCCTGCGTTACAGGCCAGGTCCCTAGTGGGGGGCGCACGGGAGGCAACGACACATTGATGTCTCTCTCCCTCTCTTTCTCCTACCCTTCCCCTCTAAAATAAATAAATAAAATCTTTTTTAAAAAAGAAAAGAGTTTATATAATAGATAACTCCAAATAATGGCCATATCAATAGCAATAACATAACATCTTAGTCCATGTGGGTTGCTACAATACAATACCACAAACTGAGTAGCCAGGAACCAAGAGAAGTGTATTTCTCACACCCGAGACCAGGGTGCTGGCATGGTCAGGTTCCAGTGAGAACCTCTTCCAGGCCGCAGAATGCTGACTGCTCCCCATGTCTTCACATGGTAGAAGGGGCAAAGAAGCTTTCTCTGGCCTCTTTATATAAGGACATTAATTTCATTCTCGGGGACTTCACTCTCATAATCTCATCACCTCCCAAAGGTCCCACTTTTTAATACCATTACACTGGGCATTAAAATTTCAACAGATGAATTTGAGGAAAAACAAGCATTCAGACCATAGCACATAATCTAGTCTACTTAAATATTCACTAATTCAAAAGTTTTTTTGAATGAGATGAAGTTCATCTAACATAAAATTTACTTGCATAAAGTGCACAATTAAGTAGAACTGAGCGTATTCACAAGCATAAAAACACCACCACTACCGAATTTCAGAACATTTTCATTGCCCCCAAAGAAACCCATGCCCATTAGCAGTCTTTCCCATTCCTCCTTATCCCCACACTCTGGAAACCATTAATCTACTTTCTGTCTCCACAGATTTGCCTATTCTAAGCATTTCATATAAATGGAATCATAATATCTGACTTTTGCATACTGTTTTCAAGGATCTCCACATTGCAGCAAGTATCAGTACTTTATTTCTTTTTATGTCTGAATAATACTTCATTGTACATTCATCAGTTAATAGGCATTTGTGTTGTTTCCACATTGTGACTATTAAGAATAATGCTATATGATCTATTTACATGTGGAATCTAAAAAAGTCAAATTCATATAAGAGTAGTTACCAAAACCAAGGTGATAGGGTGAAATGATAGATGCTGTTCAAAGGGTACAAAGTTGCATTTATGTCGGATGAACAAGTTCTAGAAAGCTAATGTACAGCATGATGACTACAGTTAGTAATACCGTAGTATGTAATTTACTCTTCACTAAGAGTACATTTTGGTGCTCTTACCACAGGAAAAAAATGGTAACTATGTGAGGAGACTTAATTATCTTGACTGTAGCAATTATCTCACTATGCATATCAAAACATCATGTTGCACCAAAAAAAGGATCATTTGCTTACCAACTCATAAAGCATTATGATCAGGTATTTTATTCTACTTTACCAGCATAATCAAATAGATTATATTTATACATGATTTGGCTATCATTTCAAACATACATTGGCCCCCTTAACATAAGACCAAAGAATCAACTGTACAAGACGTTGGTAAAAAATAATTTCTTGCAAATATAAAATATATCCAGAAATTAGTGACAGATAATACAACTAAATAGCTAAATACACTACACAACTTAAGTTGAGCAATGTTATACCTATGGATTTGAATGATAAACTATTAGTCACCACTAATAAGAATTTTCCATATACTTGTCAAAAACATAGTGCTCTTACCTGTAGTTTGAAAAACTTCATTCATCAAAGCTTCATTCACTACTGAAGAGCTGACATATCCAATATGAAACCAACTTTGATATATTGCTTGCAGCAGAAGTGTCTGTGCTCTTGTAGCTTGAACTGTAAGATTTGGAAGTTCAAACACACCTTCAGTTATAGCAATCTGAGATCTTTTGGTCCTGCACAAGAAAACAGAAAAAATAACCATATAGTAAATAGCATTTACAAACAACATAAAAAAAAGAAGGATTAGGTTGGCAGGGAAAAAAAGGTATACATTATAAATATCTTTTAAAAGAATTATCAGCCCTGGCTGGTGTAGCTCAGTAGACTGAGTAAGCACTGGCCTGCAAGCCAAAAGGTCACCAATTCCATTCCTAATCAGGGCACATGCCTGGGTTGTAGGCCAGGTTGCTGGTTGGGGGCATGCAAGAGGCAACTGGTCTATGTATCTCTCACACATCAATGTTTCTCTCCCTCTCTCCCTACCTTCACATCTCTCTAAAAATAAATAAATGAAATCCTTTTAAAAAAAGAATTATCAAATAGAGACACAACTCTACTACCTTTAAGTTTCACTATTTCAGAATATCTTACACTAATAAAAAATAAAAATACAAACTAGAATAATTCATACACATATATTCTGCTCATGCAATTATACTTTTCAATCAAGCCAATCATCAGAAAAAGCAATTAAAATAATACTATTTAACGCTTCAAAAGAATTTACTAGTAGATACGCATTGTTCTAAATGTCTTATATGGAGTAACTCATTGAATCCAGCTCAAATACTCTTTGAGAGAGGTATTATCATTATCTTCACTTTTAAGATAAATAAGACACAAAGAGTTGTTATCAAATATCATACAGATACCATATTTTTCCATGTATAATGTGCATTTTTTTGCCCAAATTTTTTAGGGAAGAATAAGGATGTACATTATACATAGTTAGTATTAATTCCACATCCAATGTTTTTAATTCTTTTATTTATGCTAATGCGTTAAAGGTGTTTAAGGGGACTAAATGGTAATCAAAAAATAAAGGTTATATTTTTTAAATGTTATATAAAAAAAGATTTTAAACAAAGTGTAACTCTAGAAAGCAATAATGATATCTGTATGCAAAATAATACCCTGGAATAAGATAATCAGTTTTGTTTCTAAATATAAATATATAATTTAAAAATTAAAATGAAAGACCTTTTTTCTGAAAATTTGGGCCAAAAACATGGGTACACATTATACACGGGAGCACATTATACATGAGAAAATATGCCAAGTAAAAAAAAAAAAAGAATCTCAGACAAGGCAATATGATCCAGAGCACCTCTCTCATAAATACTTATAAAGTATTTACATTATACCCAGCTTCCTCCTTAATAGTAACAAATAAAAACTATTTCTAGAATTGGCCCTGGAATATCTAATTCATTGTTGCCTTTCTCATCTGATTCTGTCTTTTAATAAGGTGTCTTACATAATAAATGTCCCAAACAGCAATGCTTCTAGGTACGAAAACATTTAAATACATCTACTGAGAAACAAGCTGACAGTAAAGGTTAATGAAATATGCAAGATAAAGCGGAAAAAAGAAAAATAAGAGAGGAAAAAAATTAGGATACTGCTATAATGGATTCAATCACCCCACTTTCTTCTCAACCCATAAACCTCCACCCCATTTCACATTCCCAACCATATTCATACAGATATTGGGCACCCCTTGTATGTTACCTCAGAGTCTCTCCCCACCACCTGCTATTCCAGCCACTGTGTGAAGAGCAATTCAATGTAAAGTTTCACTGCCATTGCCTAATGTCACTGGACATGTGAGACTCCAGCGGGAATTATTCTGTGTTTCATATATGCAGATCCTGGAAGTACAGGGAGAAATGCTTCTCCACTTTTGTTTCCTTGGCTGACAATTTTGAGATGCATCTCATAGGTCTCTTAAGGAGATCCCAGGAGATCAAGGATCAGAGAGGAAAAAGGACTGAAAAAACTGGAAAAAGGCCTTGGTGGGCTTTGGAACAATATCAAGCAACTTCAAGCAGGTATAACTAGAATCAAAGAAGAAAGAGTGAAGCAGGAACAGAAAAATATTTAAGGAAATAATGGCCAAAAGTTTTCTAAATTTGAAGAAAATCATAAACTTAAATATCTAAGAATTTGAACCCTAAGCAAAAGACACTTACACAAAGTCACATTATATTCAAATTGTGAAGATAAAAAATAAACAGAGTTAACAAAAATATTAAAAGCAGGCATGGTTTTGATCTCCAAAATATATAAAGAACTCACACAACTCCACACCAGGAAGACAAACAATCCCATTAAAAAATGGGTAAAGGACCTGGACACTTTTCCAAGGAGGACAAACAGAGGGGCCAGAGGTATATGAAAGGATGGTCAGCATCACTAGCCATCAGAGAAATACAAATTAAAACCACAATGAAATACCACTTCACACCAGTCAGAACAGCCATCATAAACAAATATACAAGTGCTGGCAAGCTGTGGAGAAAAGGGAACCCTAGTGCACTGTTGGTGGGAATGCAGACTGGTGCAGCCATTGTGGAAAACAGTATGGAATTTCCTCAGAAAACTAAAAATGGAACTGCCTTTTGACCTGGCAATTCCACTACTGGGATTATACCCTAAGAATCCTGAAACACCAATTCAAAAGAACCTATGCACCACAATGTTCATAGCAGCATTATTTATAATAGCCAAGTAGTGGAAGCAACCTAAATGCCCATTAGTAAATGAGTGGATAAAAAAAACTATGTGTACATTTACACAATGGAATACTATGCAGCAGAAAAAAAAGGAGCTCCTACCCTTTGCGGCAGCATGGATGGAACAGAGAGCACTATGCTAAATGAAGTAAGCTAGGTGGTGAAAGACAAATACCATATGATCTCACCTATAAGTGGAACCTAATCGACAAAACAAACAAGCAAGCAAAATACAACCAGAGACATTGAAATTAAGGACAAACTGACAGTAACCAGAGGGGAGCGGGGAGGAGATAATAGGGGGAAGAGGGGAAAGGGTTGTCAAGGAACATGTGTAAAGGACACATGGACAAAACCAAAAGGGGGTAGGATCAAGGGTGGGAAGTGGGGATGGCTGGGGTGGAGAGGAGTGGTGAGGGGAAAATGGAGACAACTGTACCTGAACAATAAAAAAAATTGGGGGGGGGGGGGGGAAGAAACTGTAATGGTGACTACACAACATTATACATTTGTTAAATCCACAGAGTGTACAATACAAAGAGTGAATCTTAATGTAAACTGTGGGTCTTAATTAACATAATAATTAAAATGTATATTTTTTAAAAAGAACTTGCTTTATCTCTCTTAATTAAGAACTCTCCCAAACAACTCCCCGGGGATATCTATAGAAAAACATTTCAGACAAATAGACTGCATTAGTCCTTGCTGCCTGGAACAATGGGTAAGAGAAAGGGTGAAAAAAATAATAACCAAAATCTTGGGAGGAAAGTCTGGGGAATGACGCTTTGGGGAATAAGAAGATTGAAAAACTCCAACATCCTCCTGGGAATACAGAAGGCCACACACATGCTGAGGACTTTGCAGCTGCACAGAAAAAACTAGAGAAAGGTCTTAAGCTCCCAATCCTGGCTGACCTTCAGGGTCTACTCAACAAGAAAAGAAGGTATAGTTGTAAATTGCCTGACTGAGTTTTGAAGGCATTCTCCATCAGAAATGATGGAAGCCACACAGGAAAGGGATGGAATAGTCAAGTGCTGAAAGAACTGCTAATAATTATAATTCTGGCAAAGCTATCCATTATAAATGAAGTAGAAATCTCTCAACAAAGAAAAGTCCATGACCAGAAAGCTTCACTGGTGAATTCTACCAAACATTTAAAGAAGAGTAAATAACCAATCCTTTCTAAACTTGTGCCAAAAATAGAAGAAACCTACCTAATTCCTTTCATGAGGCCAATATTATCCTGTTACCAAAGGAAGACAAAGACAACATAAGAAAACTACAGACCAATATCCCTTGTGAATATGGATGAAAAAATCCTCAGTAAAATATTAGTAAGTCAAATTCAGAAGAATACTAAAAGTACTATATACCATAACTGCTGGAATTTGTCCTGGAAATAAAAGAGTGATTCAGCTTTTAAAAACTCGGTGCGCCCTGGCTGGTGTGGCTCAGTGGACTGAGTGCAGGCCTGCAAACCAAAGAGTCACGGGTTCAATTCCCAGTCAGGGCACATGCCTGGGTTGCAGGCCAGCTCCCCAGTAGGGGGCACGTGAAAGGCAACCGCACACTGATGTTTCTCTCTCTCTCTCTTTCTCCTTCCCTTCCCTCTCTAAAAATAAATAAATAAAATCTTTAAAAAAAAAACTCGGCGCAATACACCATATTTATAGAATAAAGGCATGCTCATCTCAGGGAGCATGCTCATCTCAGCTGGCTGAAAAAAGCACTTAACAAAATCCAATACTCTTCATTTCTGTGATTCTGTTTTTGTTCTAGTTGTTTGTTTAGTTTGTTTTTGTTTTTGTTGTTGTTTCAGGTTCAGTTGTTGACAATTGTGACTCTGTTGTCATTTTACTGTTCATAGTTTTGATCTTTTTTTGAGGTAAGTCCCTTATTACATGGAGGGTTATCAGCAGGGAGGGGGTTGGAGGAGAATGGGGGGAAAAGGTACAGGCAATAAGAACCATAATTGGTAGGCACAAAATAGACAGGGGGAGGTTAAGAATAGCATAGGAAATAGAGAAGCCAAAGAACTTATATGTGTGACCCATGAACATGAACTAAGGGTGGGAATTCTGGAGGGTGTAGGGGTGCAGGGCAGAGGGGAATAAAGGAGAGAAAAAATGGAACAACTGTAATAGCATAATCAATAAAATATACTAAAAAAAAATTTAAAACCAAAAATACTACTAGTTGTTCAATAAATCTTCATCAAGCATGAGTCTAATATTTAAATCATTTACCCATTTTGAGTTCATTCTTGTGTATAGTGAAGGACAATGGTCTAGTTTCATTTTTTTGCACATATATGTACAATATTCCCAACACCATTTATTGAATAAACTCTTTAGTGCATTGTAAAAAGAAAAAATCCAATACTCTTTCTTGATAAAAACATCCAACACAAAGCCCTGGCTGGCGTAGCTCAGTGGATT